ATGCAGTGCCATCTTACAAAATAAGCTACAACCTAAACTCAAGGACCCAGAGAGTTTTACTATCCCTTGTACCATAGGTGAAATGACATTAGATAAGGTTCTTTGTGATTTAGGTGCTAGTATTAACCTTATGCCTTACTCTATTTTTAGGAAACTAAACTTAGGAGAGGCAAGGGCAACATAGATCTATTTGTAGTTGGCAGCTACATCCATAAGATTTCTTAGGGGAGTTATTGAAGATATCATGGTGAAGGTAGATAAATTTATCTACTCAGCAGATTTCGTCATTTTGGACATGGTTGAAGAGGACAAGAACGTACCATTAATATTAGAGAGACCATTCCAAAGTGAAATCTAGCTGGGACTTATCGATTTAATAATTTGAGGCATATTTTTGGACTTTATATCACAAAATTTTGTGATCTAATGCATATAATATACGTAGCCCATCCTTGGACTTGAAGGGTTTGCAATTTTGAGATAAAAATACATGTACTTGAATTAAGAAGCAAGAACTGGACTAGAATACTGTTTCTAAACATCGTTCACTTTTATTTTCTTCCCAATCCCTCTAATGTGCCTTAAAATCAATGTGTTGTGTAAAACAATGATTTCACTAGTACTTTGTTTGTAGTGTACATGAATATAAGGCGTAAATTAGTGAATTATTTATGTAATTTTATTAGATCATATAAATTGTTTAAAATGTGACAAAATTCGTAGCACTTCAAGGGGTTCTCTTGAAGATGTAATAGACACAATTATTTTGATGTATTTTCTTTTGTACTCTAGCATGTATAAATTGGAATATAATCTCCATTAATTTTTTATGGCAATAAGATTAAATTTTTCTAATTATATCTCCCACTTTGCTTGCCTTCATGAAAGAAGAGACATGATGAGCATGCTTGAATTCTTGTAGCTGCTGAGAATTAATCCACAGCTTTACCATAAAATTTGCATCATAAATCTTCTCCCTTCCACGATCAATTACCCATAGAGAAAGATAGTATAGTTTGCCAGCTACTACCTGTCTGTGGCCATGACCACTCTCGCAAACTTGAGAAGGGTATTCTGTTTAGATACATATGCATTTACTAATAAGTATATAGATATTAAGGTGAAAAAGCAGATGTCAATGAATTTACATAATGGATACTTTGGCATTGCAAAATAAGTAATGTGTTTGTGTATTGCACTTTGGTAATTCATATTAGAATTAACTCAATCATTGTGCGAAGAAGTGTCTGAAAACATCGAATTTTTTTCAAATTAGTTCAAAGAAAGATAAGAACAGATCAGTTGTAATAATGTGCACTTTTTATTTCAGGGAATAAATTCAATAGGATGGTGCATGATATTTAATATGTACCACCATTTTATATATGGTACCCAATCAAGTTGTAACACACTACACCAAAAATCATCTTTTGTAGCGGCCAAAAAACGTTGCAAAAGGTCTTTTGCATCGTTTTAGCGTGTCATGCGAGGGTCGGTGTTGCCATTGAGGGGAGACTTTTTGCAGCATTTATTTACCATTTGCGAAAAATCCTTTTGCAGCGTTTTTTAAACGTTGTGGTAGACCATTTACGTTGTGGTAGATCCTTTTGCAGCGTTTATTCACCGTTACGAAAAACTCTTTTGCGGCGTTTTTTAAATGTTGCGGTAGATCCTTTTGCAGCATTTATCCACCGTTGCAAAAATCCATTTGCAGCGTTTTTTAAACATTGAAATAGACCATTTTGCAGCATTTTTTAAACGTTGCGGTAGATTTTTTTTTTTTTAAGATTATATATGGTAATTGACCGACAAAATTGAAAATGGCACTTTGTGAACAAATTTCGGAATTACATAAAAATTGATTATTTCATTACAAATTTTTGAATCAATACAACATTAGAATGTAATACAATATAACATTGAATCACTACAACATTTGGATTTCCTGAGCATAGCTGAAAAAAATTGATCTTTCTATTCCAAATATACATGGGATAACTTTGTTATCAAAGGTCTAAAACGTGCAACAATTTCGATAAACAAGTGATGGCAACAATTAAACTCATGTCTTTTGCATGCTCGAATACCATGTTAAATCACATCCTTAAAGGTTGTGCTCCTTACTTCTACACGTGGTACTTCAAATCTAGTGTGGTTGACATGCTTGGCAAAAACGTCGAACTTTTGGCCTTATAGACTTTGCCGTTCGCCCACTATCAACACCAAATTTATTGAACCTACAAGCAAATAAATATACCTTAAAATGGATGCATGAATAAAGACAATAATCCAATAACACTCACAAAAGAGCAGACACCTAATGTGGAATAAAATGTCAGCAAAGGAGAAGCCAATGATTTTCCTAGGAACATAAAATCTATCAAACACATCAGCATAATATTGCTAAGAGTAAAATCAACCACCACCTACATATGAAAGCAAGGTTACTACTTATCCTTCCAAGATGGGGGCCCGAGAACTACTTACTCAGTACACCCCTTCCTGCCCCAATAAAGAACATAAATCATCATACAAAAATTCCTATGCTTTATAATGCCTAATTAGTAAACGAATGATACAACAATTCCTTTACTTTGAAATGCCTAATTAATGATGAAGGTAGAAAATTAACTTTCCCAGACTTGGACTTCTATAGGCATAGTTTTCATAGCTTAAGCAGAAGAGCAAAGCACACATTTCATCAAACCAAAATGTATATCAAATAAAACAAATTTCACACATGGTTAATATTTTCAAATAACTCAGAGTTGCAACTATTATAATTAAATTTCAGCAAATATCAGGAGATCTCAGAAGTGGGAGATCATACTTAATTGACTTCACTTCAACAAAAAGGATACCAAGTTAGAAGCTTCTTACTTCAACAAGTTTCGCAATTGTACCAACACATGATGTCCGGACAGGGATACATGAAAATTTGGCTGTCAGGCATTGTCAACACTTTCACGAGTTCATTTGACAATACAAAAGATCCTCTTTTGATTATCGGAGCAATTTAAATTGCATTATCTTTTTCCTACACTAGTTTCAGTCTTAGACTAAGAACTTACATGCTACCATATTTTGAACAACTCAATGCTTAATCATGTATCCCTCCAGTAAAAAATAAAGCTACAGCATAATAGCTTTAATAATCACCATATAGCCTCATATTTAATACTCAAATTGAAAGATCATATACTTACATACACATATAATATTACCTCAGAGAGGGCAGCCAGAAGGAGAATGCGGTTAGAGAGAGATTTTGATCCCGGTAACATGACAGTGCCAGAGATGTCTTTGATATGCTGCAACACTATCTCCAGGGCCATAAACGGCTTCTCGACGGAGGCCACCGAAGCCATAACCTTAACTGACCTATTTTACACAACAAAACTTGAATCTTTACTCGAAACCCACAAACAATTTGATGAACTTTTAACTTTTTTTGAGCCAAAATACACAGATTGTGACGGCAAACAAGAAGATTTATGTTTTAGAGCATTAGGGCTAGGAAATTCTAAAAGAAATCAATTTTGCACTGGCATTTGTAGAGATGCAAATCCTCAGACAACTTCTTATTCTCCTCCTCCAATTTGTGGACCCGAATTACTGCTTCCTTTGCCCTCTCATCTGCTTCGAGAACTACTTCGATTTAAGATCTGAAGAATCAACGACGGCTAGAAGAGTCTGAAGATGGAAAGACAAATGAATTGGGTATGTTTATAAACCTAAGACTTCGGCGGGTCGGGTTAGCCCGGTCCATAATTAAAAAAACTGGCCCAACCTAATTCGATACCCCTTTACTTTTTGCAACATTTAATAAACATTGCAAAAAGTGCATTTCGCAACGTTTATTAAAGGCTGCAAAAAGTTGATTAAATGTTGCAAAAAATCAAACTTTTCGGAACGATCGATAAACGTTGCGAAAGACACTTTTTGCAACGTTTATTTATAAAATGTTGCTAAATCTCAGTTATATTAACCAATAGCAATATTCACTTATTAAAATATTGCTATAGACCCCTTTAGCAATACTTAACTACTGAATGTTGCCTTTTATGTGTTGCAAATGCTCACTTTTGACATAGTGACGAGTAGGTTCAAAATTATGAGCCACTTTAACCAACAAAAATGGAAATAATAATGCATAAAATGCTGAAAATAACAAGTACAAAACACATGGTTTTCGCCTTAAGGCAAGAGGTTAAGAACCGAAGTTCATAATCCCCTTTTGAGTTTCTGCCAACAGGAAGAAATCACTTTATTAACCAGAACCAAGAACCGTTTAGAATATACCAGGCACTCAGACACAAATCACCCAAGATTACATCAAGATTGAAAGCCCTCACTGATCAAAACAGAAATTCACTTAAGGAGGACAACTATAACCCTTTATAAATCACCCAATACCTATACAAGAGGGTACAAATATAGTAGATCAGATATGCTTTTAATTTTCAGAGTGCAAGGAACGGAGAAGACAAAGAGGGCACAGAGAGTTCGAGAGAATAAGAGAGTGAATTCCAGTCAATAAACTCAAACTTTAGATGCGTATAAAAGAAGCCACCAGAAGGTCTCCATTTGACGGTCCGTGCTGTGACACTTAGTGAGATCTCAAGCAGTCCAAGCATTTAGTGAAAAATGTGTTTTAACTAAACACGCTTAAATCCAAATGAAACAGAAGCCACCAAGTAATTAAGTGATAATCTAGCCCAATCATCAATTAACAAATTCAGCCCAATTAGCAGCAATAGCAACAGCCCAATCATCATTGTGCCACAATTTCTCCACAATCTCCACGTTGGTATAATGATCCCAGTTTAATCTATAGTGATTTCTCCATTATGGCATCATTTGCTCTTATTCCTGATACACAAATCAGCAAATATTAATTTTCAGCTGGTTTAAACAGTCCAAAAACATATTTGAAGGCAGCAATTTGGTACCAATATCAGCAGGTTAAAATGGGTAGAAATTATCTCAAGTTTCACAACACCTTGTGAGATNATAACATCTCTAATAAAATGAAATTTTGCATCAACATGCTTAGATCTATTATGCAAATAGGATTCATACTCAAATAAATGGTAGATTGGCTCTCAGAATATAAAACAACATCTTTAACAAAACCAAATTCATTTAAGAGTCCTTTTAGTCAAATTCCATCTTTTATAGCATCAGTTACAGCAATATATTCAGTTTTAGTTGAAGATAATGCAACAATTTTTTGTAGTTATGATTTCCAACTTATGCTACAATTACACAAAGTATACACATAGGCAAAAGTGGATTTCCTATTATCTCTATCACCTGCATAATCAGAATTAGTGTAACCTCTCAAGATAACACCTTCAGATTGTTTTTTATGTTGAATCCCCAAGTCACAAGTTCCCTTAATGTATCTAGGAATCCATTTCATAGCTTCCCAATGAGCTTCACTTGGATTTGACATGTATCTACTCTATATACTTATTGAGAATGCCAAATCAGGTCTAGAACAAACCATTAAATACATAACAGACCTAAATGCATTAGAATGTGGCACTCTCACCATTTTTTTAAACTCATCTTTAGTTTTGGGACATTGATCATTTGAAAGTTTAAAA